GTGATTCAAGTCCGATGGTAAGCTTGGGATGCTCAAATTAGTTAGAGATTTCTTTTTTTTTCAAGTATTATTTGTTTCTTGTTTTTATTATTTATGAACAGTTTATATTAATTAAATTGACGCCTTAATTCATATTAATTGTTCTACTACTATCATGAGTTTGTGATTTGTAATTGTCATGAATGATTGAAATAAGTAGCAAGAGATTGGCTTATGTGTGTGTATTTATGACTTTTCCATTTTTACATAGCTGACATAATAGACTTTAGAAAAATAAAGAGACAAAATTAATTAACTTTCAGCTATCTCAAATTAAGTAATTTTAGTTTAGTCATTCTCATTATCCTTAATGCTATTCTTTGATTAATATGGAACACTATCGTGTTCAGTTGATTAATTAATACGATTTAATTTTGATGCTTGATCTAAATTAATTAAATTATGAGAATTAAAACTTACCACGGCTGTTTCGAGTAAGTAAACTAAGTTCTTGAATCAAGAAACTAATTTTGTGTAAAGTCTATGATCAAGATTACAATTGGATGAAAATCACACCTTTTGATTGGAAGTTTGATAAGATTGACTTTCGTTTTCCTTTTAATTTATCTTTTTAAATTTCAAATTTTAAATACAAAACCCCCATTTTTTTTAAATTTGAGAAATTAATTTCATTGGTTCCCTTGGGATTCGACCTGGTCTCACTACTTCTACAAGTTAGATTTAGTAAAATTAGTAATTATTTTGGAGGGCGTCGACAACTTTTACCACTCCCTGCTTAAATTTCTAGTTCTGCTATAACCGGATGGAATCCATTAAATGCAGGAGCAGCATACACTCTTATAGCTCTCTCTCACATCAGTCAACAAAACAACATTAAGAGGAGGAAAACCTGCTAGTGCAGCTAGTGCTTCCTCGTTATTCTTGTTAACTTCTAGCTGGGGAACCTCAGGATTAGGATCGGAGCTCTCAAAAGCTTATCTATCTAGGCTTCAATCCTTTGTTGCCTTCTCTACTCTTGCCTTCTGTGATCGAATGTTCGTTTTATCTCATTGTCAAGTAGATATTCCAATCCTTGCAAATCGTGTATTCACCTTCAAGGTTCACCAAACAGTAATTAAATGAAATCTTTCAAGCTCGGATTTTCTCAAGTAAAAATATAAAGTGTAACAGTTAAATTAATCCCTGGCAACGGCGCCAAAAACTTGATAATGATTTAAAACCCTTGTACAAGTGTACACGAATTGTGTATCAAGTAATAAAATATCGAACCCACAATGACTGATTTCCTAAACACCTCAATTACTCAAGAAGTAGAAAACAATAATTTTGAGATGTACTAGCAGTTTCTATATAAACAAATATGCATAAAACTTTGAAATAAAATGCTAGAAGTAAAGTGATTTCAGCTCAAGAACACAAATCACAGAAGGGAGGCTCAGGTTAAACAGTGAATAATGGGAAGGAGGGGATGTTGTATGTTTTACTTTGATGCAAGTGAACGATGCTCCAACAATAAAAATGTTAGCAACATTGGCCAAACAAACGCGACATCTTCCCAGATTGCTTAGATTTCATGTTGTTCAGATTATATTCAGAACAACAGCTTTTTAGTTCGGTACGTTTTAGTCATGTTAGGTGAGTCTTATTCCTAAGTACCCACACCCTATACTCAAGGGTAGATCTAGCACAAGTTGAAGTCAAACACTCTCTATTATTATTTTCCAAAAGTTAACAAAGAGTTCATTCAATATGGTGATCAAGCACATTGAAATTAACATAGTATGAACAAACTTCAACTCAACAATAACATCATCATAAATTGAAAAACAAAGTTGATAACTCAAAGCAAGTTCACAACATCTCCCTTCTATTACTTTAGCTAGTTAATGCCATGATAGAGAAACTACCTAGCTCATTTATTGAAGAGTACAAATAAAGGAAGAAGAAAAGAAAACAGTAAACTCCTGCTCTACTTCTTCCTCTTTGGGTGCTTCTTCAGTTCTTCAAGGTTCTTCTCTCTTTCTTGTCTTTTCGTGCTCTATGGACTTGTGTGTAGAGAGAAAATGAGTGAATGATGGAAAAAATGTAATGTGATGGAATATTGGAGGCAACCTAAATGTTAGCTTTTATACCCATCCTTGATTTTAGGGCAATAAAATGGATAAAGTCGGGTACAGCTCAAATATTAGGTGTTTGCTCCGCTTTTAATACAGTGACTATTCGGTAAAAATTTGTCCCTTTCAACTCTCTGTCTTTTTCTGCTTTCATTCTCTATGCTTCATCATCAATAGCCCTACAACAAAGCATCAAAGTTAGGAACATTTCGTATAAATCACAACATCAACTGACAATGCAAAAATGGTTTGAATATTACTAAACAAGCATGGAACCATGATGAATTGAGCTTCTTTAATATTCTTATCTACTCAAGGTGATTTTCTTGCAAAATAACTGTCTTATTAAGAGTTATAAATACATGAGTGAACAAAAAAAGTGAAATATCTTTTGTTGGTACGAGTTTTAATGAGCCCAATACCAAAAGATTTCATGTATGAAATTCAAAACATGACTGAACTATAAAGTGATTGATTTTT